TGGATGTTTTCCAATCTATCTAAAAATTTTTTACTTTATGCAAAAATGTTACAGATAAAATGTATTAATGTATTTTCACAAATTTTTGTTTATTGATTGACTGTACCAATCTTGCCAATTTTCTTTTACTGTCCCAAACAAACTTGTTACTACGATGTTTGGTGTAGTTTACGAGCGCTTTTTTAGGATTCGCTTTCCGGGGACTTTCGTTCCTGTCGCGTTCTGGTCGCGTGTTTACACAGGTCGGGGGGGCTGCACGCGCCAAAAATAGATCCACACGGTAGTCTGGATTTACGTACGCACACTTATTTTTCAGGAGCTCACTAACTTTCCCGTTTGCCCTTATGACGGGCGTCGCCGGTTTTCAGTAGCGAATGCAAGCACGTGGTCGCTCGTCTATCTGTTCACGCATGCGAAACACGCGCTCACTCGCATGCGGGCCCGTTCGACACCTATTCTTCCACACGCGCTGCGTTATTCTCAATTTCGACAACGGTTGCGAGAAAAAGAGCAGATGTCTTTTTTTTCGGAAACGAAATGGGGTCAGTACAATGAGGTACAAGAATGAAGTGAGGAACAATAACGAAGCCAGTAAGAATACAACTCGCAGTGGTGTGTCTGTATTCCTAACTAATCACAATGTCAAAGTGCCACTTGAATAGACGAAGGATTATTCATCCGCTTTATCTTTTTGTGACGTATACCTTCTGATTGGTATCTTCTTTCGATATTTTAATTTTTTTAATTATGCACGTTTCTTACTTCGCCTATTTTTGTATCTCAATGTGTGTCACAGCCCCTATCGAGTCGGACTGTCGAATTAGTCGCGAGAAAATAATGTCTGATTGATTGGCCACCGTGGGAATTGGGGGACAGACGCACTCTCGCGCGGTATCATGGAAAAGAAATTTTTTTGTTTATCGCGGAGAGTGCGTGTGTCATTTGGAGCACCACATGAGTCAGCGGATGTGACACCGAGTTGACAAAGTGTTGAGTCAGGTTGCGGCTGAACATCAATCTTGAGTTTATCTCGCATTGTCGTTTAAGGACAGAGTGTCCTAGACGCATAGAAATTGGCGCTCTTGCAATGCGGTGATGATAAAGTGTAGAATTTTTAATGTCACTATTTGCGCCATGATTTTCGATTTTCGCATAAATTCAATGTCTGAAGGCATTGACCAATTTAATAAAAATTTGTTAAAACTTGTTATGTCGAATCATACGTCTTGTATGCGTTTAATGAGAAGGACGAGAAAAACAACTTTATTAAAGCTCACACAGAAGTTGAAGAGCCGATTGAAAGCGCCCGTGTACGAACACACGAGTCATCGGCGGCTATTTATGCACCTGCGCAGCCTTGAAATCGCTTCGAGATATCCAATTTTCCGGCCGCTTTTTGTCGTCGTGGTTTCATTATAATCCCATAATAGCCCGCGGCCATCGTTCTCTCTTCGGTACATCACTTATCGTTCGCGTTATCGCCGGGGCGGAATTCTCTCACACATCGTCGGCTGGCGAGACGACGTCGGTCTCGCCGTTATATCGTCGTTAACGCCTTAATAGACGGCGTCGACCTTTGAATGCGCTTATTAATCAATTGAGCGATACGACCGAAAGAAATCTCGGCGCTCATTATACCTCGCGCGCCGTTCGTCTGCGCGGAACGAAATGGATAACACGAGGAAAAGAAAGAGAAACCTTATCGTCTTCGCACGCTTCATTTCGTGAACGCGTTTCTTATGGCTTGCCTTTTACCTGCCGTGGAATTGCGTCGGAAAGATCGGAAAGATCAAACCTATCTCTAACATATCGCACACTCGTTAGCGATGCGGCCGCACCAACTTCTACTGCATATTCAGCGCGCCTTCTCGTGTATGCATTTCCATCTCCGCGGTCACGAATGGCGCAACACTATTTTGCAACGCGCGTCGGCAAACTATTTATTTGAGGAGAGCGAGCGCGTCGTAAAAATCATCGCTATTGTCGGTTCAATTTAGCTCAATTTCTTCATCAAGTCCATCAAATGTCCTTCATTCTTTCGTACTTATATTTCAGTATGCAAACCGATGTTTTTCTAGATGTTAATTTTATAAAATCTTAATATGAGATAAAAAATTCTGCGTTTCTAGCGATTATAATGACAATCCACGATAGCGACAGAATTTTTATGCTATTAGTCATTCCGTCTATTAGCGTCTTCCCGCTGACGAATCAGCGCTAGAATGCAATTGTGGAAAATTGCTTCCTAAAATAGAAAATCATAGGTGTATTAATGATATCTAGTATGTTAAACTTCACGATTGCGAAAGACTTTTTCGAAAACTTATTTGAATTTTAAATATTAGAAAAAGATATTGTTGCGTTTTTACATATTATCGTATGAATTATACGATCACATTGCTTTATGCAAAGAATAAAAAAAATGTTGAGTTATGAGTATCGAAATAGTCTTATGAATGCAAATGTATCAGATGCCATCAGTAGATCGGATTGTGCACATTGATGCAATAGTTCGGGAATGCAGATTCTAATAATACTTACTTAGTCTGCGACTTATTAATGCATTGTTAAGTATTTTGCAAAACAAAGTTTTGAAACACGAAAAAATATTTGTTCAATTATCACAATTCTTACGCAAGATATCTTGCATTACCAGTTCTCGCGCGGTCGCTCTTCTCCCGAGGATGATATAAACGGTCGTTCGATGATAGGATTGTGCGCGAGATTGTTAATATGAAAAACAAGACGCGACAGAGAGCGATTTGAAGCACAAAGAAAAATAAGACGCATGGAATGTATGTATGCTTCGTTGCAACGCTGCCTTTCCCTCTCCGATAAATCTGTTCGGAAGCGTATCTCTTTTTCGAGCGACGGTGAATTTCCTTTCCCCGTCGGGATTATTTTTATCACGAGGAACTTCGAACCGAGAGAGAAAAGGAGAGCGAACGTATTCACAAGTTTGTCCGTTTATGCGCGATCGTTTTTTAAAGATCGTTCGACGCGCTGCGCATTGCATTTATCTCGCAACGCGGAGCTCGGCAATGTCACTTGACAGTCTAAATATAACGATGCTGCGCGATACGCGTCATGACCTTCCTCCACCACCGGAAATTCGCGGTCCGGTCGTAATCAATGCGAAGATAGAAAGAAATATAGGAGCATCATTGCGAAAGACGTCGTTTTTTCCAAGACTCTTTTCCATTTCCCACGTTTTCTCCCTTCTAAATCGACATGTGATTGGTTCGAGGCACTTCTCGGATACATTAGGGCTATTTCTTAACGTAACAACGCATTACGGGACGCCCCACGTGGTACGCACGACGAGCGTGGTATGGAATAACATAAATATTTGTCGAAACCCTTCCTGCTGCTACTTAATATAGCAGACGCTAATTATACTTTTTTTCTATTTTTGCTTTGACGATGATTTTTCCGGCATGTGAGATGTTAAATCGATTACTGAAAGTGCGCGTCGTGATTTGTATAATTGATTACCTCGGCGCATTGTTACTCGATAAGCTTGCAAATTATTCTCCTAATTCGGTAATCCAGGAAGATATAAAAATGAAATGAAGCAGAACAAACGCGACACGTGCTCTCCCTTTCGATAGCGCGCTTCCTTTGTGCAGAACGTACTGTAATTTGTTCCGAAAATTTAGCTAGGATGAAGGGGACACACCATTTGTTAGTCCATAGGGGCGGCATTGTGCTCTATTATTTCGGGAGTCGAAGCAATGTAATAGTGGTTCTATTGTAGAGCTCTCTGCTCATCGACGAAGACAATTTATTTCGAGAGATCGTTATCTATCTTCATGGTCTTCATCGCAGGGCTTCTCGGTAAACCAAACACTCGTCCTTCCATCTGTTTCGTGTTGTCATTTCGCTACCGGGAAATGCCGACTGTGTCAAAAATCACGCGAGCGAAGCTGAGAGGAATTCTCGAGGACGTGACAATATTGTGTCATCGCGTTTCCGACGCGGAATGTGTCACCCGGTACACACGCGAAGCGTGGCGCAAGCGTGGCGAGTCAGCCAGTGCACACAGCGACATGCAAAGTGCAATGCACTGTGAATAGGCTGCCTAGAAACAAATGCCATTATGCGGTGACAGTGATATACCTATAGCTCCGCGCTTCTGACTTCGCGCATTGATGCGCGCGGTTTTGTTTTCGCGAAACGAAACCCAGTCAACTTACGCTCTATATTCTCAATTAGCGCGAAATGCAACTATCCATTCGCGCTGACTCTTATTTCTCCGGTGTAACTTAATGCTGACGCGTAATGCGTGGAATGCGCGTTCATTCAGGAAACGAGCAAACGAACGAACGTTAGAAAGCAGAAAACTGATTTAGCTTGCGTTATTTCCGCGCGATGAAAATCGCCTCGTTAATGGAAATTTTTCTCAATGAAAATTTACATAGCATGCGCGATGAAAAATCCAAGATTATTGATGTATTTTTAGGTTATTTTTCGCGCATGCAAACAAAACTCGAAATAAACGAGTTAAACGTATCTATGATTAGTGTGGATAGAAACAAAAATAGTGCAGATGAATAAATGATAATAGCGAAATGTCACGATAGACGTGTGTGGTTGACAGTCTTATTTTCGAAAGCCGCTTATATCCGATACTGATAAGAGTTATTGCTTTCTAGATTGCGAGCTATTGATTCTATCTTGAACATTAATGCGAAGTGCCGGATCGAAGGAAACTCTTAAAAGATCATTAGATATACGGGTCGTGAGCTACTTTATACATAGCAAGCGAATTCTGTGCGCGGCTATATAGAAGATTGCCTTAAACTAAAAATAAAGCGTGTAGCAGTGTAGCGTACATAATGCTATCTCTATTTCTTTATCGTTGTATTGAGCGGATTATCAATTTCTACTTATCCTATAAAGATTTTTATTCTTTTAAGAAATAAAAATACATAAAGAAATTTGCAGCGAAAGAAATAAAAAGATTTAATTATATTAAATTTTAATGAGATTATGAAGGCTTCGAAGATGTTTATATCTTTTTTAATATAGAAGATTTAAGAAAATGAGAATAATTTTTTTATAAATAGAGACATCTTTCTTTTGAATAAGAAATAATTTCTGAATAGACGGGTTCGAATAACAAATTTTTATTCCGCATTCAATTTTAGGTAGATAAGATTACTGCTCGGTTGAATTTTTATCGCGGAAAAATTTATTTTGAACTGGGATAAAATTCTTACACGTTTATTTATTTTACAACACTTCATATTTACTTCGAAGAATCCCAGTGATTCATATCGTTTTCGATTGTTCTTCTCTCTCGATTGTTCTCTCTCAATCTCGTATCTCGACTGGCACACAAAGGACGACCTCGCGTAACTTCGCCGCGGCTGCAGATGCGTTACGCATCGCGGCCATCAGCTGCTCACGCATGCAGGCATACGGCGGCGGTGCGTGCGTGTTGTGCGAGGCACGTGGTCGTTTAAATGCGCGTTAACGCGCGCCCAACAAACGAGCAGCCTAGCTAGCATGGCTTTTAGCGCGCCACGCCGTGCCAGTTTTTCGCAGCCGTTCTCTCGGCGCGTTTCCGCTTTCGTTACCAGCGAAGTCAGTACGTTGCTGTACCATTATTCCCGTTCGCGCTTCTCGGCGACTTCTTGCGTTATTTTTCTTCTTTTCCGAGGATAATTAAAATTGCAGCGACGATACTCATTTCTGGTTGTTTTTTCCGAACTACGTTGTTGAATAAATAATACATTTAGGGCGGTTTATATTTTTATCGATAATTGAAATATTGCAAATAATCGTTGAAAATAAACATTGAATATTTATTTTCAAGCGACATTAGTTCTCATGTATTCGCGCGTGAACTTGTAAGTCACGACCGTGTCTCTTGACAGTATGTACATTATTTCTGATGTAACATGAACGCACAACGTGATATAAACAATGGCTTCAATACTGTTAGCAAAAGTGCTTTCATGCGTTTACCGGTTTTTCCACGTTTTTTTTTTCGCGTTTCAATCGAACACACATAACGGAAACGAACACAAACAAATCCTCGAGTAGGACAATGTGTAGTTGTTTCCCGATGGAAGAGCGCGTTCCCGTTGCGCCGTTGTTCTTTGTTTCCCGGACTGTGTCTTTCGTACGGTTCATTATCATCGTTCCGCTCAATATCGTTGCGTAAAAAAAATCTGACTTTTAAGGAGAGAGATTTCTGATTACTGGATTCGACGCGTGGAGACCTTCCTCGTTGCACCTGCGTATCAATCTGCGCGAAAGTCGCTATCGAATGCGAGGGGCACGCCCGTGTATCGATAAACATATAAATCTCGCTTTATCAGATCCACCTGGCGCGGGTGTCCACACGTTACGTCGTTTTTACGTTGGATGCAACTGCGTTTCTGATTCGCTTATTATCGGATATTCTCTCGAAGCGAGTTCGCCGAGAATCGAGCGGGTATTCTCGCGGATTTCTGATGTATCTGTTACGGTGAAAGTCACTCCCGCTCCTCGGCACAACGCTGCAAGTCACAATTCACCCGCGCATCGCGAAATCGTGGCGAATCGACGCGTGTAACTGCGTCGGGCTGCAAACACGAGCGAGCTCGGATTCATCAGCTCATTCTCGCTCATTCTCGATCTTTATTCATTTTTATTCTAGTACGCTTCTAAGTCGTGTTTATTTTATTTTATAATATTCTAAATAGTGTGCAACAAAATATTTAATCCGTTCTTTCGCTTTCTGATTGCAGGACAGTTTAGCAGGATACCACCTGGTACCCAGAAGTGAGATAGAGACAGGTGGTACGAGAAGATAAGCAATCATGGGAGCGAGACAGAGCAAGAGGTCCGTGGACATAACGACGACGCCGAAGAAGGAAGGAATACCCGCCGAAGGAGGTGTCGGCGACGCAGCCGCACCTGGCGATGGCAAACTGGAGAGGATCGAAGAGGCTGACACGAAGCCTACCACCAACGGTATTGCACCGCACACGGACACTGCCGAGGATAAAGAAAAGGATAAAGATGAGGCCACCGAGAAGGATAAGGAGCAACAAGCGGTGAGTCTTTTTTAATTATTCTTCTTCTCGTCGATTTTTCTATTAAACTAAGATATCGATCTCGGAGAATCAACGACGATTTATATTTTAATTATGCGATAAATAGGTATGCTTGTTTCTCTTTGCAAAATAATTCAAATTATTTTTATTAAATGATAAAGTCGGACAAGTGGCATTATATATTTTAAAATAATCAATTTTACGATTCTTTAATTTTAAAGATCAATGTCAACGGCTAAAGTGAATGAAACTCGCTTCGTTGACTTTCAGTTCCTATTCATGCCACGGTTCTGTACATATTATCTCGAAATCATATTAGCTTTATAAGGTCAATTGTTTGCACAAGTGATTACCTCGATCTCAGCTCGAGCGACATAATCGTATTTGCGTTTGAAATTCTGCTTGTGTCGATAATTTTCCATCACGAAGCATATATTAATATTTTATTAACACACTCATTATTTCTTGTTATTAATGAGAATTTGCTCGAAGAGACCATAGATAATGTTCATTGGAATTTCCGGCTTCAATGATCACACACAAGTATCGCCGAGCTGTAAAATGCTTATTTCTCGCTATCTTGATCGTTTGCGCGTATAATTATTTTTCCTTAATGCGAAATTCAATGTGCAAATAATAATACATTAAGTGACATGCTTCCTCCGCTAGTTTACCGTGAATTGACATTCTCAAATCACATTCCAGTGAGTCATTCGCTCAATTATCGAGCACTTTTCAATGATCTCGTTCGTTCGAAATACGCTACAATGAATGCGTGCTGAATCATGCGTTCACTCGTAAAAGTCGTAGGTACTCAGAAGTTTATCTCGCTGAGACGATTCATCCGATGGTAGTTGCACGTGCCAGCGAATCATTAATCTTAATCGATTCGTCGAAAATGACGACGTGTCGTTTTATTGCCGAAGCGATATTTATCGATATCTTTATCACTAAAAACGTCAAATATATTATTGGATTGCAGTTTGAAATATAACACTTGCAACAAGTGCAATATGTAGAGGCATAAAATTTTAATAAGTTAACTTTAACTTTTCATTAATTTAAAATATCGCTATCGTATTATTGGCGATTTTGTAATGCAGGGCGTATCTATGTAAAAAATAAATCGCTATGATGTAGTTTCTTATTTGAGTAACGCTTTAAAGTTGAATTGCACTTGTGTTATTAGTGCAATTAGCGACTGTACATAGCTGATTGTTCTTTCAACTGACCTATTTTGCAGTCCATTCTTTTTCGTGCTTTTTATAAGTTATTTAGCACCTGCCAGTGAAAATGTACCGTGCAAGTCAGACTTTACGCGGCGACCGAGTGCGTCAAGTGTCGCGCTTACGACATCCGGGGTTGACTATTCTGAGCGTGACCTAGGCGAAATGTTACCTCGTTGGTTACCGGGAGCGAACTGCCTTCGATAACGATCGATTTCCTGTTCGCACGGAGATATAACTCGTGAACGCGAAAATCAGCGTTCTGTATCGAACCCTCTTCCCATCGTTATATCGTTCAATGATCGCTCATCTGTGCGACTTGATGCCCGATAATCATTACTGTTATGTAATATGTGATACAAATGGAAAGCTGGTACGCTTATCGAGTCTCACGATTAATTGCGCATTACGCGTCAGCGGATTAGCGCTTAAAATATACTTAGCATCATAAAGGCTAAGTGAGCAATATAGCTAATTTATGTTTAAGATTACATTCTATGCATCTAATTAAACTAGTTCTTGTACATTTAATTCTGCTGTGCTACAATTAATCTATATTATATATTATAATTAACACTCAAGTAGGTAATTTATCATATTCAGATTTTAAATTTGATAAAATCGTGCTTCCAGAAAATTACATTAACATTTCTATTCAAAGTTATTTATGAAATCATAATCGTAGTTTGCTAGAACGTCTTTAACGTTCTCCAATTTGCATTTTTGAAACTTTTCCAACTTTCAAGTTATACGGTTCGGGAAAATTCAAACTGCAAACTTGGGCACAGCGCGTTTCACGGCGTATCAATTCTACCTTACCAAGTAGTTTTTGGATTGCTGCTGCTCTCCTCGAATCGAATCTCATAAGTGCGCGCGGTGGTTTATATCTCGAGGTACTTTCCCGCTTAGATGGAACTTGATATTTCCCCGATTGAGCAAGCCCGGCGGCAGCTGTCACGCACCAGATACAACGATACGCGAGAGAGAACTCGCATGTTACTACCCTTCCGCTCCTTCCTTTCATTTCCCTTCGACAAGTCATTTCTGTTCCTCTTTCGCGTCTAAAGCGTCATTTACCTCGACTATTCGAGCGAAAACATTTCTCCCTCGTCGTAAAAACGTTCTCGACTCGAGAGAAGCGTAGGAATTTTGATTCATAGCGAATTTTCTATGTTAGTCAATAACCGTTCGCAATATTTTCTCCTTACTTTATCTTGATAGATTTTCTGTGCCATTTTTTCTAATAAATAATCAACCTTAAATTGGTTATTTGAACTAAGATACTTAAAATTAATTTTTTTATCTTGATCTGAATTTTACTTTTATACTTTAAAAACAAACTAGAAATGAGTGGAAGATAGGATAGTATTCTGTCTTGAGCAATGTAAAAAATTGCGACTGACATAAATGGATTCAGATAAACTCGATAGTCACTAAGCGAGAGTTAAAAATAAGATTTCATCATTTGAATTTGATTGATTTGGTATACACGTTTTGTAAAATCGTTCCGCTAAAATCGTGCAGAAAATCGGATTGATATGCATTGATACGCTACATCATGCTTCTCTGTTATCGTTTCATCGAACAAGAATCCGCTCATGTCATACCTATCGAGTTAATCGTTTTCCGTGAACGACAGCGAATGCTTATCGGACCGATGATCGAAATCACATTGCACTCCAGCCTATCGCTTCTCGATTCACGTGTTATCACGCGAATTCTCGAGTGGCTATCGACTGAATGTTATAAGCATCTGATAAATTCACGAAGATTATGTCGATATGACGGATGCATCGAATGAGAAATTGGCGTTTGTTGCATTTTTGGCAAAAAACAAGAAAATACCGTTTAACCAACTTCACCGTTTTGCAAGTGCTCGTTGATCGACTCGTTCCCGTGACTAACTGTAGTCGTGCACCAGCTTTTTACCAGGGCATACCTAACCTAACTGTCCCAGACGAATAAATCTTCTCTATCCCTTCTTGACCCGTCCTTATTATTTCGCACGTGTATCTCGGTCGTCGGACCATGCCCGATCGATATCAATGACCATGCGATTTTTAGATTCGTTTCTACGAGTTTTTGCATCGCGGCTCCGTTAACGAGATGTTTGCACAATGCCGCGCGAACAATGATGTAAAAGCGATCCGTTATAAGTCAAATATTTTCGCAACGTCTCGAGAAATTTCTCGTTTTAATTTTCTTATCTCGGTGACGCTTTCTCATCGCCGTCGCTTAACCCACATTTTGATTTAAATATGTCAATTGCATTAACATAACGCCGCCACATGCTTACCTCGATTTACCGCGGGTACATATCGCAATCCATCGATCGTTAAAAGACACTTTTATGCGCGTATTACGATTCTTGCCGCTCACTCAAGTTACGTCGTGCTCAATCGAGAAGTGCATTTGTGCGGTGTCTGAGATTATACCTGCGTGCTATGAATATTCATCGCTGCTGTGATGTCTTTGTACATCTGGCGACGCCTCTATTCGCGATCTTACAAAATCTCCGGGCAGGTGTGCGAGCTATTTAAGAATCAACCCGTTTGTCTCGTCTGAACACCTGCCCTTAATATGCCGCGTTAACGACGACGAGTCGGGAATGTCGGCTTTTTTTTATTAAATGGAGAATTCGCAATACGATCGTACGGGCGTAATACTCGCGAAATGAGCCATACATTGCAAACTACACTTCGCACTGTGAAAAGCCGTAACAAGCAATGGATCGTGACCTTGGCCATGGCACACCTAGTGCGCCGCGGATGGACATTCGACAGAGCGATAAAAGTTTTTCATTAGAAAATATTTTTGTATTTAATTTTTTATCTACAATTTATATAATGAGTGGTTTGATTAACAATTATTTTTTAGAAGAAGATAGTTATTATCTTGTGATAAGTGGCAAGAAATTGAAACTTAATCCGTTCATTATTGCTATTATATAATTATTGAGATGTGGATAGTAGTCATTTTTTAATGAGTGATAAATTACTTTAAATTGCTTTAGCTAGCGAATTGAATTATAGGCTGCTTTGTGCTGCGCAAATTTGCAAAGCTCACTGATTTTCATAATTAACTTGTAGATTGTAATATACTGATATCTCGAGGTATTATGTACGCGCTTAGCGTAGATCGCAAAAAAGATGTTGATCCGCCTATTGAACTCCTCCCCGAACGATGAATCAGCCGAACGATATCGTACGGAAATCAAGCCGAGTATTTTACGTATAATTAATCCCGCGCGAGTACGATGATATCTCAACGCGGCGCGTTTCGTTGATGAATCATCGCGCCTATGCACAGCTCGGAACGCGCTTTATTAATTAGTGCGACTCATCTGTTTTGCCGCGATTAATTGCAGCTCTGACCCGCCTGAATTCCTATGAATTTTCTCCGTCCAGCATTGCGAGCAACGTTATTTGTTCTTGCTCGACCTCGCGCTTAAAACGCGATAAATTTCTAGTGGAGTGTTTTCACGGTTAAATATCGGCTGCGGCGCGTGTAAATCCTCGTTTTCCGCAGTTTTCACGGCAGGCGGTATCGCCTAGTTAAAATCAAACGCAGATCTGTGGCGTCGATCGCGGCGGAGATTACCCAACGCTCGGGAATTTGTTATAGAAGAACGTAGAAACAGGTGCGCGCGTGCATGCATGTGGCGTCAAAGAATTTATTGTGAAAATCTCGCACAGTCGACCTTGGATTGAAAGCCCGCTGCGTCTTGTGCATTCCTTCGTATTCCAATATTGCGCGGCCGGCTGCACCCGCCATCAGTCGTATTTATCCGCAAGGCTGTGCCCGCGCCGCGCGTATCTTTGAATATTAATTAATGGTAAACTCGTACGGCCTCTGAATTCCAATAATATCGGCCTCCCGATGAGGCGTACATTATTATTTGCCTACGCTTTCAATAACACGGCTCGCACGCGGAATCTTAACTCATTATTTCATTTTACACCGAATGCAATATTCATACGCCGAAAACACGCGGCTGAAAAAGAAAACAGCTACGTTACATCGATCGTTATGGCATTATACGTTTCGTCTCGGCTCCAACTTTCATTGTTTATGGATGCGGAATAATAGCAAAAACGAAGTTTATCATTCAACCTTCTGGCCCGAAACTTGGTCAGTTTTTTCGCGTTCACAAATGATCCGTATATTTACTTTTTATCTTCGGGCGTTGTTTTGCTGTTCATCGATGTGCGGTCTCCACATATTCGCGCGGTGCCGTTGCACTCGGGGGCATTTACGCCGAAGGATATTTCGCGCAGTATACACGCATCATTGCATCTCTCTGGGATCTCGTTTTCCGTCCGTTTGCTCGTCCTTTTTTTTTCTCCTCTGCCTTTGCTCGTACCTCGCTCGCTAGATACTGCGAAACACTTCGCCGTTGCGCGTCTTGTGAATGCAAAAATAAGCCAGTATTTACATAATATAATGCGCACAAAATGCATCCGAGAAGATTCGCCTCGCCCTGCCATCGTCGAGGAAGAAATGGCGTAAACATGAAGAGAGAGAAAGAGAATATTGCGCAGACATGTTACTTGTAATCGAATGTGACGGCGCGTCGCGCCTCGCTCAGTCTATTGTAAATCAGGAAATCCGCCGTCTAACGCCCACACCGGATTTATATCGTTCTTAAGCGACGTCGTGAACGTCGGCTTGATCGGCCGTCGCGTTGTTTTATCGCGCCGGAGTGTAAGTTTGTGTGTGCATATCGGATAAACATGCGGAATTGTTCTCGCGTATTTGCATCGATAACAAAGTAGCTCAGTGCTTGCTCGATCAACTAGTCACCTGTCAGAAACTTGCGAAACGTTATTCACAGTGTTTCGTTCAACTATGATAATATTTGTGTAGTTACCAGTTTTATCGATTAGAACTAAAAATGAAAATAAAAATAAAAATATGAAGAAGTAGAAATTAAATTTTACAAGACGTAGGAAAATGTTTTAATTTTTCGAAAATTTCTATGACGATATTTCTGCGGAAGATACAGCAAACGTTAGAAAAGCAAAGCTGTTTTCCATTACGAGATAATTTCAGACTCAGCGTGAATAATCTACGAGTCACAAATTCAGGCGAACAATGCTGAGGAACTTGACTTTTCATTTTTCAGCTAGCTTCCGAGAAGCGTTCTTAACAAAGTATTCTATCCATCTGTTTGTGTCACGAGCAGACCATAATTGCACGAAGGCAGTTAATTATCGCGTTGTCATCGGTATCCTTCGGTTGACAATCGTCACTTTTGTTAACTTTTCTCATGAATTTACAGGAAGGTTTTTGTGTCTCTTTTAAATAGCGAAGATAACTGCACACTACTTTAATCAACAAGTATAATTAAGTTCGCGTTTACAGCTCACGCTGTTATATATATATATATATATATATATATATATATATAATCCGAGAGATTTTCTTCCAAGTCTTTACAACGATTTATTTAACTGATCGTAATTGGATCTTGACTGATGTAACGTATAATGATCTTCATATGAAGCTTAGAACTTTTCCGGTGCTTCAGAGCTCGGCACTCGAAATCTAGTCAACTCTGACGGACTTTCCGCGTAAAGAACCGACAAGGCGCCCCTTGTCGACCCGCACTTTTCTTAGCGAGTTTGGTAAGCTGCGCACTTCGCTGGTAAGGCAAGAGAGAGCTTGTCGAGGGCTTTTCAGGACCGAAACAAAGAAAGCCCCGTTATGTACACTTCGTCGTGCACTGTACACTTTCTAAGAAAACTAGCCCGTTTCACGGAAGTTTGATATTATTTATAAGTGATGAGCTTCAGGGCACGATGGGAAAGAGTTAAGCGACTCTATTCCGTAGTGGATGTGGCATTTTCGGGCGTAAGATGAGAAACTTTCAACAAGTATACAAGTATCGTCGCGGAAACGTACGCTTGCGGGCGTAAAATTCTATTCGCGTAATCAATTTTGCCTAACTATAATTTATGTCAACGAGATTTTCGATATCCTATTGCTTGTCAATTTAGTATAAATTAACAAGTCTCGAAGTAAATTGAGCGACGAATGGAGAGTAGATTTACTTGTCGTTTTTATTAGGTTTTTCCCAGCTGAGTCGACGGAAAATTGTTGTTACGATTTTTAATCAATTTTCTTGTAAGCACTAATTTTATTTTGATGCAAGCTATTTACATTATATATTTGATAGTTTGATAATATAATTCATAATATAATATATTAAAATTTAAATAAACGTGATAAAATTGATGAACGCGATTATAAAATGATACGGAAGATACATTTCAATCCTGAATAAATTTTCAATATATCACCCGTTAAAAAGATTTGTTGAAAATATCTATCAGCGGAGCTGTAATGCTCGAGCGCTATCTTTCCGCATAAAACGATGGAACTCGGAAGTGTTATATTCGGTCTGTCGCGGAAAGTCGTAAATTGTGACGTTACTTGCCATCGATTTACGATATAGGATTTACAATTTATGACGTGAATATATCTCGAAATATAAAAGATATCACTTGTTTTACGATTTTTTCTTCATTTTCCTCGTGCATAAAGAAAATCACTACAATAGATTAAAATAATGTATTTTGAAAATTGAAGCTAACTTTAGTAATTTATATTATTTTTAGTGATTGCTTCTCTAATGATTCTGCTGATTTATATTGCAAAACATATTTGCATATTAGATTATTTCTTTACGTGTTTATTGAGCGTTGAGATTGTGTTTATTGCTTGAGTCGGATAGTATATTAACGTAATATATTTTGAAGAATAAGAATTTTTGAAAGAAGATTTATCGTTATTTTTTAGCAACCTCAGCAAGAAGAGGTAAAACCTGAAGAGACGAAGCAAGAGAGCTCGTCCGGAGAATCTCCTGCGGAGGTTGCGGAAGTCACGACGCCCACAGAGGCCACCCCAGCCAGTCCGAACACTGCCACTTCTCCAGACAATAAGGAAACCAAAAAGAAGGATAAGGTAAGGCAATTTGCTTATAATTTGATTATCGTATTCAACAATTGGAGTTTAATCAACAGTGTTTTAACAACTATTAACTAAATTTTCTCATCGCGATATATATTGACACGTGCTTGCTAGTGTATTAATCAATAACTCTAATTTATATTAATACAAGTTACAAGTTTTGCTTCTTCGAAGCATGACGCGTAATCACGCGGGATGAGTCTGCCGATCGTTATCAGACCCGTTTCCTGGTTTCCAGAAGAAAAAGTGGTCCTTCAGATCGATCAGCTTTAGCAAGAAGGACAAGACCAAGCCGAGTCGTGAGGAAACGCCCAAGAACGGAGACGTCACCAAGGAGGAGCCGCTCGCAGAGGTGAGTCGAGAGAGCATTCGTATAATTACGTAGTCCAATTAATGGAGCGATAAAAAACATATTCGCGAAAAACAAAGTCCAATTAAATTAAAAAAATCAAATCAAATATTTCTCGAAATAAACAAAGCTATTTTCAGCGTTATTTCTCTACTATCGTTGCAATTGCAAAATTTGTTATCTTTTATTTTCGCGAGAGTGCGATTATATTTGCGAGTATGTTTTTTTTATATTCGTCGTAGCGTGCGCTGAAATTTTTCTCCCGAATATTCGTAATGGAAACATTATTCGTAATTTAACTCTCAATCACACATAATTGGATAATTTCGCTCCTTAAGAGTTTCATAATACCTATCCGTGTGTTTACGTGCTAAGTAATCACTATGCGCACATTACGTATCGGATGCAATTTTGCTCGAACTAATTGTACTGCTCTTTAGTACCGGGTCGTGCATTTACGTTGAATTATTCTTGAAAGACAAAGCCGCCGTTTTTCATTCTCGTTGCCGGTATTGCCGCTCGTCGTTATCAACGACTGATTAATCCGCGCGACATTCGTTACGCCGACGTAACACGCTTCGATAGCGCGGTGTTACGACCCACTTGTGCCGATTGATGCTGAAACACGTATCGCACGTACACCAGCGCAGCGTTCGAACAAGTTTCAGGACAAGGTAGGTGGTACATAATTCGCGGCGCGCGAAAAACGGGGCAAAATCGACTTGGCGAGCGGCAATGAATCGCCACGACCCCATTCCGACTTCCTCGATCTTTTTCCGGCAATCGAATAATCGATTCAGTCGACTGTGTCGAAAAAAAGTCTCGGCCAATAACGGCCCGTGTTTGATCAAGCGTGTGCTTCGTGTTCCCTTGAAGTTCGTGCCGCGATTCGCGTGCGTGGCGCGGAGAGGTAATCGCGCACGGCCACGCGATAGCCGTCATGGATCGAGGGCTTTCGGGCGGCGCTTAATTGGCTTCGGAACGTCCGATAAATCTCGAAGGCACTCGCCGATTATCGGAGATTTATTCGGCAAGAATGATGGACTCTTCTCGGCGCGCGAGTCCGCGCTAACAAAGTTATTTTAGTATCGATTCCTCGTTTCACATGTTTATCCCGGGCGGCAGGAAGGCATAACCTCGATATCCTTCGCATCATTGTCGCGCGGGGAAATGATGAAGTATTATGCGAATACATCTCATGGTGGCGTTAGCCATTACAACGGCGTGACCAGCCTTTCACGAGCTCCGTGAATGATGGAGCTCACTCTGTAGACGTTATTATTAATCTTCGTCGTGCGGCTTAACAAGCTATTCCACGTTACGTCCGCTTTATACCTTGATCAGCGCGATTATATCGAGCGATATAGATTGGCGATGATCGCGCGATGGTGCTTGGCGTCGCAGGAATACATCAAGACTTTATCGGTAGCTTAATTGAACCGCGCTTGATCGACGGGCAAAAATCAAGAGTATATCATGCGTCAGCCAGTGAAGTGTGATAAATTACGCGTATAGCCGTAACAATCAATCTCGTCTTTTTAATTCCATTCACACGGGAGATCTTTTTCGACAAATTCGATCATTTAGAATTCCGAATTATCCTAAATCAATAGCGTGTGTTCAAAGATCGAACGCTAAACGTGCCGATAACAACGAGGCAGCGCGCTTTGCAATGAATCAACCCGCTGAACCTGCATCGAAAGCTCACCGGGCGCTTAATTGTCCCGAGGCGGCAATGAATCTCGTTGCTCTTTCCGGTCAGTGCAGGCGGCCGGCTGCAGCCGTCCGCAATAAATCCACTTGCCGGTGAATGTATAATAAGTAGTAAGTAGATGGTCCAGCTCTCGCCTTTCCCTTCTCTGTGTTTCTTTCTCGCGAATTTCTTTCTCGCGCGCACAGCTTCTTGTCTTATCTCTCTCTCTTTTTTTTTCCCCCGAGAGCTAGCCGCACGTAGGCGCGAGGCGTGTTGCCGCGAGATCTCGCGACGGCTGATCCTCTCGTTTCCTTCACCGCCACCTTCCTCTTCGTCTTTCTCTGCAGCCTGCACTCGCGCGCGCGCTCGCTCGCGGTCGTGGGCTCCCTTCCTTCACGGCCTCGGCGCGACAGAAAGGGAGTGGGAAGAGAGAAGAACAGCCGTGACTCATCCCTCCGGTTCGTCGTACCTCCGCGCGCGCGCGCGCGTA